CCGCTTTGGATTCTGTATCTCCCTCTCTCTCTGTTCCTCCCCCACTTGCACTCCATCTCACTGTCTCTCTGTGTCAAAAATAAATAAAGAATAAAAAAAAAGTTTTTTTAAATCTGAAAGTGGTCCACTGGTAGCCCAAATATGTTGAAATGTAAAACATTAATTATCTGTCTTCGTTTCAAGTTCTTAAAATTCGAAGAAAATAGGGGCAGGATACTTGACAGCTCTTCCCCAGTGCCAGCGAAAGGTCTCTGTTGGACCATGGTCTTTGGGCTCTTGCCTCAAGGTTGTGCCATTGAAGACTGCAAGGTTGGCTCTCCAGTAGGGAAAAGTGGCGGTAGAAATTCAAGCCTCTCAGAGCCAATAGTCCCTGAGGCTTTGGGCAAGAAAACCTGAGGACTTTGTAGCAGGTAAAACTCTAGGAATCTTCCTGGAAGCCCAACATAAAGGATGAACATGCAGGTGGCTTCCTGGGGACAGTCTGCAGGGAGATGACCTAGGACTAGATGTGAAAATACCTTTACCAAGAAGGACCCAAAAGATCCGGAGCAATCTGGAACTAGAAGTAGAATCAAAATTGTACAGAAAAGGGACAAAAGGGATGAAGGAACAAGAAAATCTAGATCAAAGTAGACAAGAATAAAACCGAAAAGCCCCTAGAAAGCAAGCTACTATGTTTTCAAATAATGCACAAAATGACAGAAGAGGGAGCTCTGTGAAGTAAGAAACGCTTTGCCAAAAATAGTCTTATTTTAAAAGTTCAGGGAAGCAAATCTCACCTAAAATTGAACAACAGAAAGTACCATGGTCAAATATCATATAAAGTTATTATAAGAAAAAATTGTATGTCCACGGACAATGAAAGCATACCAGAAAGATGTGCCCACAAAACACCTAGAGTCTGTAATCTACACAAAAGTATGAAGAGAGCCAGAAACAATAAAGATATGGATAAATATTAAATATTTTGTCATTTAAAATTTTCATTAAAAGATAATTGATGCTTGATATGATAAAAATTATTGTCAAGTTTCTTTTTTTTTTTTTCCAACGTTTTTTATTTATTTTTGGGACAGAGAGAGACAGAGCATGAACGGGCGAGGGGCAGAGAGAGAGGGAGACACAGAATCAGAAACAGGCTCCAGGCTCTGAGCCATCAGCCCAGAGCCCGACGCGGGGCTCAAACTCACGGACCACGAGATCGTGACCTGGCTGACGTTGGACGCTTAACCAACTGCACCACCCAGGCGCCCCTCAAGTTCCTAATGTATGTAGAAGTAAAACATGATAATAAGAGCACACAGATAAAAGAGGGAAATCAGTGGATTAGTGCAGTAAGCTTATGCTGGCTCACAAAAACTGATTGTGTATATCTCTTCTAAACTCTGAATTCATTGACATCACTTTGGTAGCTTGAAATCATCTGCAGCAAAAGTATTTGCTCCATGGAATTGGCAAAAGATGCAGATCAGGGCCCTTTTTTTACCTTTAAGATCTGGTTATTAAAAGTTTATCCACATATCACTGGGGAAAGTGGAACTGTAATATTACAGGATCTTATACACAAAGTCATATAACATTACTTCTATTTTTTATTGAAGTATAACTAACATACAGTGTTATATTAGTTTCAGGTGTACAATATAATGATTCAACAATTCTATATATCATTATAGAGTGCTCATCAGGATAAGTGTATTCTTAATCCCCTTTATCTCTTTCACCCCTTCCCCCACCAACCTCCCCTCTGGCAACCATCGGTTTGTTTCCTGTATTTAATTGTCTGGTTTTTTGTTTGTTTATTTGTTTTGTTTCTTAAATTCTACATATGAGTTAAATCATACGGTGTTTGTCTTACTCTGATTTATTTCACTTGTACCTCTAGGTCCATCAATGTTGTTGCAAATGGCAAAATCTCATTCTTTTTTATGGGTGAGTAATATTCAATATACACATACACACACCACACTTTCTTTATCCATTCATCTATTAACACTTGAGTTGCTTCCATACTTTGACTATTGCAAATAATGCTTTATTAAACATAGGGGTACAAGTATCTTTTCAAATTAGTGTTTTCATTTTCTTTGGGTAAATACCTGGTAGAAGAATTACTAGATCATATGGTAATTCTATTTTTAATTTTTTGAGGAACCTCCATACTCTTTTCCACAGTGACTGCAACAATTTGCATTCCCACCAACAGTGCATGAGTGTTCCCTTTTCTCCACATCCTTGCTAACACTTCTTATTTCTTGTCTTTTTAATTTAGCCGTTCTGACAGGTGTAACGTGATATCTCACTGTGATCACTGTGATTTTGATTTGAATTTCCTTGATGATTAGTGATGCTGAGCATCTTTTCATGTGTCTGTTGGCCATCTGTATGTTCTTTTGAAAGATGTCTTCTGCCCATTTTTAATTGGATTATGTCTTTTGGTGTTGGATTATTTTGTTTTATTGATGGTTTCCTTCGCTGTGCAAAAGTCTTTTTATTTTGGTATATTCTCAATAGTTTAATTTTTCTTTTGTTTCCCTTGCCTGAGGGGACATATCTAGAAAAATGTTTCTACAGCCAATGTCAAAGAAATTACTGCCTATGTTTTCTTACAGGAGTTTTTTGATTTCAGGTCTCACATTTAAGTACTTAATCTATTTTGAATTTATCGTTATGTATGGTGTAAGAAAGTGGTCCAGTTTTATTGTTTTGCATGTAGTTGTCTAGTTTTCCCTGCACCATTTGTTAAAGAGGCTGTCTTTTCCACATTATATGTTCTTGCCTCTTTCATTGTAGATTAATTGACCATGTAATCATGGGTTTAGTTCTCAGCTCTTTATTATGTTCTATTGATCTGTGTCTGTTTTTGTGCCAGTACCATACTGTTTTGATTATTACAGCTTTGTGGTGTATCTTGAAATCTGGGATTGTGATACTTCCAGCTTTATTCTTCTTTCTCAAGATTGTTTTGGCTATTTGGGGCCTTTTGTGGTTCCAGACAAATTTTAGTATTATATGTTCTAGTTCTGTGAAAAATATTGTTGGTATTTTGATAGCGATTTCATTAATCTATAGATTGCTTTGGGTAGTATGGACATTTTAACAATATTTGTTCTTCCAATCCAGGAGCATAGAATATCTTTCCATTTGTGTCATCTTCAAGTTCTTTCAACAATGTTTTATAGTTTTCAGAGTATTGTCTTTTACCTCCTTAGTTAAATTTATTCCTAGGTATTTTATTATTTTGGGCACAATTATAAATACAATTGTTTTCTTAATTTCTCTTTCTACTTTATTATTGTATATAAATGTAACAGATTTCTCTATATTAATTTTGTATCCTGGTATAACATTATCTGACACTAGTATTAAAACAAAGATAAGTATTGCAAACTTTGGAGAAGACATTAAAAAATAAAAGACTAGGTAAAAGCCAGTAGAGAAGATAAAATGGAATACTAAAAAACAATCCAACAGAAGGCAGAAAAGAGGAAGTAAGAAACAAAGAACAGATGAGACAGATAGAAAACAAATATTAATAACTACATTATATATAAATGAACTAAACACATCCTTTAAAAGGATAAAGATTATCACACTGAATGAAAAAAGAAAGACCCAACCCTATGCTCTTTATAAGAAACCCCCCTTAATATAAACAGATGGATTAAGGTAAAAGAATGGAAAACAATATGACCAAGCACACACTAGTCATAAGAAAGGTGAAGTGGGCATATTAATATCCAATAAAGTAGACTTAAGACAAGAAGTATCACCAGGGACATAGGAACATTTCATAATGATAAAGCAGCCAATTCATCAAGAAAGCCTAACATCCTAAATGTGTATGACCTAGCAGAACAAAATATATAAAGCAAAATCTGACTGAACTGGAAAGAGAAATGAGCAGATCCATACTTACAGCTAGAGATTTCAATCCTCTTCTCTCGGTGATTAATGAAAAAGTAGATAGAAAATGAGTTAAGACAGAAGATTTGAACAATAACATTAATCAATCTAACCTAATTGCTGTTTATAGAACTACACTATATATTACAGATCTACACACAATAGAATTACACCCCAAAATACAGAATACATATTTTTTTCAAGTGTACATGGAAGGATGGCAAGTCCTGTACTGGTTACTCTTTCACAGGCAGAAGCACAAGTCCACACTCATAAAACTAACATTTAACAATGTATAACTTAGGCTCCCATTCAACTTTTACTGAGGCACTATCATAAGCTGCAATTATGGTAACACTAGGTATGACAAAATCTCTGATAAGAAACTAACTTAAAAGAAATGAGTATAAATCCCACTTTAAGGAAGTTGACTATAAAAGGGTAGTAAGATTAGATTTTTTTGCAGTAATTTTAATGTTTTCCAATTAATCTGAGTCAGGATTTTGATTCCATTTAACATTGTGAATTTTAAATTCAAATATGTTTTTATATGTTTATATGTTCAAATATGTTTTTATAATATTCAAATATGTTTTTAAAATACACAGACTCGTTCCTTAGCCTTTGTTTTTATTATGTAAGTCCTTGATACAGCACACACTGATGCTTTTTTTTTTTTTTTTTTTTTTTTGGCACACTTGTAATCACCACTCAGACTCCCTTCAGACATATTTATTGCTTATATTCTATTTAAGTGACTTGACTCTTGGGTAAAATAAAGAATGGGGAGGGAAGATGAGCTAGTCTTATACAGTTCTTTACAAAGGTACAATTTAATAGATATTAGATTCAGAAGCATAACTCTAGTATAAAGACATAGTTTTCTCCCCTCAAAAGAAATCTGAGAACATTTAATGAAGTTTTCTGAGAAGACACAATAATTTTCATTCATTTTAATTTTTTTTATCAGTTCCAGCACATAATTACAAAATAACTGAGGTTAACACAGGCCAAGGTGCAGACAAGTGAGAATGTGGCCCCACCATATCTCAGGCACTGAGCATCCCCATATGGTTGTCCACTTTGATCAGTGTTTAATGTACGTGGAATGTACAGGCATCCAGAAGTTCTGTGAAGCAAAACATAAGAGAAAGAACTTCAGGTACTGCCTATGCTTGCTAAACACAATTCTGTTCCTCTTTTCTAAAAGTAAATGCTAGGTAATAACAATTTTTTTAAAAATCTCTATCTGTCTATCTATCTCCTGATGTCAGTGCTATACTTAAATACCAACATTTTCCTTTCTTCCTGCTCTCATCATCTCCAGCACATAATATAATTCAACAAAAATTCAGGCACACCCCCAGCAATTTGATTATCCCAGCTCTAATTTTATTTCTCCAACTTAATCCTTTTTGAGGCAGCTATGCCATTCTAAAATACATACACATATATAAAAACATATATATGCATGTATAAACTATGCCATTTTAATATATATTTATTTATATATTTAAATATAAATATACATATATATAAAATATACATATAAAAGGCATATTATAGTGCTAACTTCATTTTGTTTCTATTAATATTATTTATACATTGACTTAAAATCTTTGAAAATTGATCCTCTATGAGTCATGCTGTGGGTCATCTCCCAACCTTCTCCCTACACTGAAGTGCTCACACATGTGTACCTTTTCATTTTGTTAGCAAAAAAAATGGAAATGCACAAGTAAACAAGTCCGATTTCCAAATGATCTCAAGTTCTATTGTACTCTCTGTCTCCTTCAAATGATTTGGTCTTTTCTCAGGTAGTCTTATACTGTTGTCTAATTGAGTTGCTTCACTGGTAAGTCTGAATCCTCCTGCAGGGCCAGGAGCAAGCCCTCTCCATCTTTATGTTCCTATCAGTACAGGCCCAGGGCTTGGCTTACGATGGTCCTTAATACTCTACTCACCAGAGTGTAAACATGGTTTCATGTTAGCAATGGCCATAAGATACTCTGGTCCTAAGTATTTTCTGTAAGTTGTTTCATCCTGAAGGTTAGCCAAACATGCAGTGTCATCACTGAAAAGCAGATCCTTGTTTGAGGATTCAAACATCTGGAACATCCTGTATTCAAACCCATTTCTTCCAAAGAGCTCCTGAGTCAGACAGACAGACAGACAGGCAGAGAGTGAGCAGCAGCACCAGGGAGCACAAGGTTGTGTATTCTGCCTCAGAAGATCTAAGTCTGCTGGGCTGCTTAGCTCCAGCACCTGGAACCCTGGGGCACAGCAACAGTTTAGGAGGCACCATTAATGGCAAAGAGCATGGCCTCTGGGTTCAGATCCAGGGCCTAGCTTTTGTTTGTCATGTGACTGTAGGAAAATTCTTTACTAAGCTCAGTAAACCTTGTTTACTCATTTATAAACAAAGATAATAACCCTAAATAGTAAGATGATGTATGTAAATTAACTGCTAAATAGGAAAAGCTTCAAGTTGGCCACTATATCACAGTTCCACCAATCACTGCTGGATATTTTCAACTTCCTGGGTCACACTTGCCTGTCTTCCTGCTGCCCGAAGCCCTTGCTGTCTTGCCTCTGCTATTCCCTAGATCTGCCCCAGGCACCTGACCATTTCCATCTCTTCCTGCCCCTCCTCTCCTTTCTTTCGTTCAGCCCCCCTGTAGCCATGGGGGCAGCTTGCCCTTTGGGAGATGCACCCCTTCAAAAGTCCATGACCGAGAGCCTTTTGTTTTGCCAGTTCTCCCTGGGTCATAATCCTTTAACTGGGATGTGTGGGCAGCATATGCTAAGACATGGAATGTTCATCTGGGGCTCTTCCAGGAATGGGGTGTGTGAGTGCAAAAGGCAGATGAAGCTTTGGGTTTTCCTTAAGATCATTTGATTTAGGCATCCTGCTACTCCATAGCCCTTGTTGGCTGCCTGTAGAGGTCATGAGTTGTTTGAATGTTAGCTCTGGAACTTTCATGAAGCCTGAAACAGTGCTTGGCCTGCCCAGGCTCATTAATGTATTGGGACCCACCCTAGGTCAGGTAGAGCAGCCTCCATTCTGCTCTTCCCACAAATACCTCACCCTTGTGTTAAGGGCTCTGAGCCAACACCCTTATTTCTGTGACAGAAGAAGAAAGAGACAGCTCTCATGGAGGAACTGAACAAGTCCAGGAGGTACCAGGAGTCTGCTCAGAGAAGAAAGTGAGTCTCAGGGAGATACTTCAGATATCCACATGTCCAAGGCTTTTTCAGTCCACTTTGATACCTTAGACAGCCCCAGAGCACAAAGTGAACATGGCCACCATCTAGCTTTCTGCTTTCATCAGAGGCAGGGTTGCAAGAATCTATTTCCACATCCCAGGGATAAAGTCCCAGGGAGAAAGGGTATGAAACTGGGCTGGGTGTGCCTATCAGCTCTGCAACTGACCTGAGCACTCAGTTGGGAGGACTGTCTGGACAGGACCTCCTGTGTGGCCATACCTGTTGGTTGAAGAGAATTCTGCGAACAAAATCTGCCTTATCTTTCCTTGAGACCACGGCATGATTTGGGACTCTGGCCAGGTGGCAGTTCTGAGCTTCAGTCACAGGTTTCCTGGTACCATCGAGGCACAGCAGCTCAAAGTCTTCATGCTTCAGATCCTTAGCCCATGCTTCAGTGTTCTTTCCTAGGGGGAAGGAAGGTGGGTCAGCCACAGCAGACAGCTTTGGTCAAGGTGGCCTCACCGGGGGGATGTGACCAACCACCAATGTCTAGGAGAATCATAGAGACATGGAAGAATGAAATAATAAGGCTTTAAAAATAAAACAGAAAAGAAAATTCATTTTTGGTCCTGTTAAAGGCAAAGATTTCTTAAACATCCCCCCAAAAAGCACTAGCCAAAAAGGAGAAGATTGGTTGAACTATATTAAAAATTAAATTTTAACTATATTAAAAATGTAAATGTTAATCAAAAGACATCATTAAGAAAGTGAAAAGTCTTTCAGAGAGGGACAAGATATTTTCAATCCATATAGCTGATAAAAACTTGTATCCAGAATATTTAAGGATTGCCTATATATTAAGGGAGCTAGACACGCTTTAATAAACTTTGCTGGTTACCTGACTGGGGAGTGACTTCCCATAAGAGACTCAGATTTTTTCCAAGGGAGGAAAGGACAGCACAGACACATACCGTCAGTGTTCTGAAAGACCGTGCGATCCTTCACAAAGGCCACGTCTCCCTTCTCAACCAGACACCTGCACAGCAAGGGTCCAGTTAGTGAGGAGGATCAATAGGAGTGAGAGGGAGAGACACCCAGAGGGAACCACCTAGGGGTTCACACCCCCTCCACCAGAGCCACCAGGCACACCTAACACTGACCACATCCACACACACAACTGTAACACCCAACTGTCCCTGGGAATTGGAGGGGAAATGTAATAGAAAAAGAAACCTGCCTGGGGTGCCTGGGTGGCTCAGTTGGTTAAGCATCCGACTTTGGCTCAGGTTATGATCTCATGGTTCGTGGGTTCGAGTCCCACGTTGGGCTCTGTGCTGATAGCTCAGAGCCTGGAGTCTGCTTCAAATTCTCTGTCTCCCTCTCTCTCTGCCCCTCCCATGCTCATGCTCTGTCTCCATCTCTCTCTCAAAAATAAACAAACATTGAAAAAGAAATCTGCTCATTTTGTTTCTATTGTAGATAATAACCCTTGTTTGGTTCCTATTTGAAATACTGATTGGTTTCTCCAGAGAAGATGCTTGTGTTCTCCTATTAACAGGGATATTCAAGAACGGCTCTTTGGTTGGATCAGAACTCACATCAGAGGGGCGCCTGGGTGGCTCAGTTGGTTAAGCGTCCGACTTCAGCTCAGGTCATGGTCTCACGGTCCATGAGTTTGAACTCTGCGTCGGGCTCTGTGCTGACAGCTCAGAGCCTGGAGCCTGCTTTGGATTCTGTGTCTCCCCCTCTCTCTCTGCCCCTCCCCCACTCATGCTCTGTCTGTCTCTCAAAAATGAATAAATATTAAAAAAAATTTTTAAAAACTCACATCAGAGATTAAAGTCAGCATGGAAGACATGATTTTGAAGGAGTCTTTTCACATTCAGATGTCTAGTCAGCTTTAATAAAAGTTAATGTGCACCACTTAGATATGTTTTCATGATTAATCCCCTGAAAAATGTTTCTCTGTGTTTAAGGTCCATTTTTTATGAGAAATGTTGAACATACTAAAAATCAGTTCTATGACATCCAGTCAGTTGGCAATTGATACTAATGATTCATTATCAGGAGCACCTCTCCAGTTTTCTCTAACTTCAGGTCCCTCTATACTTAGCTAGGATCAGTTACTCCCATTCAATTTTCCTAAGCCTTGCCCTATTTCTTTCCTCCACCCACTCTCCATATAGTCCCAGTCCTGAATAAGCACAATCATCTGCCTCAGGTGTGTCTGTACCTCAGCAGGGAGGCAGACCAGAGACCCTCCCGATCATTAACTTCTCTGGGGCATTCCTATGTTCCTTGCTCTACTCTAGATCTGTGATTCTCAAAGTGTGAGCTGGGATCAGCAGTATAGGTACCAGCTGTGAACCTTTTAGAAATGCGAATTCTTGGGCCCCACCCCAGACCTACTAGATTAGAAACGTCTGGGGGTGGGGCCCAGCAATCTGTGTTTTAACAATCTCCCCAGGAGATTCTGTGCTGTAGTGGTGAGAACCACTATTTCAGATAGCCACCTCCCCATTCTATAGAGCAGTGACTAAAATGTTTTCCAAATTTCCACATACTTCTATCTCTCCACATTCCCTCTCCCCAATACTCACTCTGACATGTCCTCCTGCTTCCCAGAAAAAACACAGATAACATCACATGGGCTTTCTTCCAGACAAATCTGTCAGTCCAAGTCTCCAGTGCTCTTCTCCCGCCCATCAGGCACAGAGAAGAAACAAAGGTCTCCCTCCCAGCAGGTGTCCTCCCCAGGTGCCTTGCATCCCATTCCTGCCCATACTCTCAGGCACTTTCTCATAGTTTTCCTCTTTCTCTTATGCAATTGGAGTCTTTCCCTGTTCTCTGGGCTCTTTTTATCAGCATTTATACTTTTCTTTTTTAAAAAACAATAATCCCTGTTTTGATCCCACATTGCCCTCAGCAATGGGCCTCCCTCCCCGACTCATCCAAACACCTACAAGTAATCATTGCACTTACAATCAGCATCCCTTCTCACCACCCTCACTGACCCCTGCTGGTCAGTTTATGGGATTGACTCACTATTGAATCTGCTCCCACCAGATCCAGGGGCCAGTTCACTATACTCATTTTATCTGGTCTCTCAAGTTCATCCTTTCCCCAGTTTGAAATGTTATCTCTGTTATAGACCAGATATAATGTGTCCACGTATAAGTGTTGGAAGTCTATTCTCTACCACTGATTTGTCATTCTTGCGCATAAACAACTCTGTACTGATCATAATATTGCAGTATTATATAGTATTACAACATAATTTTTATATCTAGGAAAACAAAATTCCCTTTATATAATTTTATTTAAAAATTGACTTTCATTTGTCTACCAAGCTTTAATATTTTGAGAACTGACTCCTTCCCCCATCTCCCCCAATCCACCTGGTCATGGTGGAAGCAGCTAAAACTTTACAATGCAACATCACTGCATGAGTTGTGTGAACTCAAACTTTCACTGGAACTGGGCTGACAATCCCATTTCTTGAGAATTGGGAGAATATATTATAGTCTGTGTTTTACTGCTTCTGTAATAATGTTAATCACAGACATTTCCTTCCATGTAGACTGAAAAATAGAGAAAACCATCCTGCAGGGAAAGACAAAATGAGGCAGATGTGGAGGGGACGGGGGGAAGGGAGAGGGAGAGAGAGAGAAGCAGGGTATGTTCCCTTATGCTAAAAATTAATTCAGTTTATCTAGAATTCTAATTTGGCTGGACATCCTAAATTTTATCTGGCAACTCTTGCCTTATAGTATCTTGGCTGTCTCCTGAGGCTCCAATCTTAGTCCTTACAAGGTGGAAGCTCCTTGGGTTTTTTCACTTGCAACCAAAGGAGTCTTTATTCATTACATTAAAGAAAAAAATTAAACAAGTAGATAAAATATATAGTATTATATAGAGTGAAAAGTGCTTTAAAAAAACCCATAAAGCAAGAAAGGGGGATGTGAAATATTGGTAAGGGCATGTGTGTGTGTATGTGAAATTATAGTGGCCAGGAAAGACTCCCTGATAAATCCTAAAGAAAATGAGGCAACTAGCTATGATATGAGGAGGAAGAATACTCTAAGTGGGAATAAGAGCAAGGACAAAGACACTGAGGCAGGAGGGAATAGCTAGGATGCCAAGATGGCTGAAGTAGATACAGCAAGGGGAAAGATGTAGGAGATGAGGTCACAAAGGGCCTTCCCAGGTCATAAAGAGGCCTTATAGGTCAAAGAAGGACCCTAAATTTTACTTTGAGTGATATGGGAAATTACTGGAGGGTTTTAAGCAGAGAAGTGTGATACTCCGATTTATATTCTAACAGAATCACTCTTGCTGATATGTTGGGAATAGACTGGACGTAGGAGGGAGAAGAGGATAGAGCAGATGCCTCCTAACCCTTTAAGAATGTATGATAACAATCTGGAGAGAGATGATGGTGGTTTGGATCAAGGTGATATCAGTGGAGATGGGTGATGAGGTCAATTCTGGTTACCCTTTGCAGGTAGAGTCAACATGATTTGATGAAGGACCAGATATGGAGTCTGAGAGAAAGAAAGTAGACATAGATAGCAGACACTAAGGTTCTGACTTTTTTCCAAAAGGAAAAATGGAGTTGCCTATAACTGATGTGGGTAAGACTGCTGGAGGTACAGGTTTGGGTGGGAGTATGTGAAATTTTAGAAGCTCAGTTTGGGACATTTAAATTTGAGACAGTGATTAGAAATCCAAGTGGAGATGCCCACTAGGCAGTCTGGAGTTTCATCTGGAGTTCTGAAGAGAACAGGAACATAAGTTTGGGAATTGTCAGCATGTAGATGGATCGAGAGTAGATAAAACCACCAAGGGTGTGAGTATGAACAGAGAAGTCCAAAGACAGAGCCCTGGGGTGCACCAACATGTTGAGGGTGGGGAAGTGAGGCGGAACCAACAAAGAGACAGGTGCAATAGCAGGAGAGGGAGGAGGGAATCCAAAGAGTGTGGTGTCCTGGAGCCAAGGAGGAAAATGCATCCATTGGGAGGAAGTGATGGGTGGTACCAATGATACTGGTCTGGTAGATGAAGCAATGGAAGGACTGAAAACTGGTCCTTCATTTGGGGATGAGAACAAGTTGTGTTTCAAGACACAGCTCTGACAATTCTAGTCCTCTGTAATATTATATTAGTGCCAAGGAGACCATCAACCCTAATACCAATGCACTTTCTGATGTAAAAACAAAAACAAAAACTACGTTAGCCTAGGTTTCATGTTCAGTATATAGTGTTGTAGTGGATCTGTGAAAATGTCATTTATGTATGGCTTATGAAAGAGAAAATTTTGGAGATGGCAGGACAAAGTCATCTGGCAGTGTGACAAATAAAGGGGCCTTTCCTAGAGGCTCACACATTCTCCACACAACCCTGATTCATACAACATGCCTACTGCCTCAAAGTGTCCCGTGCTGCTCAGCACACTTAGAATTAAATCTACCTCCCTGATCAGGTTGATAGGGCACAGAGACATATCCAATGCCGCAGCTCCAGCTCTGCACACCCCTGATCCCCTCTCACCCATGCGCCACCCCCCCCCCCCCATCATGGCCTTTTCTGGCCTCAAACACGGCACAATTTGTCCTGCCCCATGCCTGTATCCTTGCTGTTCCTTCTTCCTTAATACTCTTCCTCCAGATTTTCTGAGGTCTGACTCCCTGTCAATATTAAAAACTTTTTTTAATGTTTATTTATTTTTGAGGCAAGAGAGAGAATGTGAGCAGGGGAGGGGCAGAGAGAGAGGGAGACAGAATCTGAAACAGGCTCCAGGCCTTGAGCTGTCAGCACAGAGCCTGAGGCGGGGCTCGAACGCATGTACCATGAGATCATGACTTGAGCTGAAGTTGGACACCCAACCCACTGAGCCACCCTGGTGCCCCTCCCTGTCAATATTTAATCCTCAATTCATACAGTCCCTTCCACTTGCTGTTATCAAAACTGTCCACTACCCAAGTCACTACCACACTACCCCCTTCTGTTCCTTTGTAGCTCCTACCTCAGTCAGGAAGTGATTGGCCCTTCATTTATATTTATTGTCCTACTCTCCTCATGAAAGGAGACAGGGAGCAGGACCTACATGTGTCTTGTTGCTGCTATAACCCCTCTACCTAGACCAGTGCCTGCCACATACTAGGTGCTCAATAACTGTTTCTTGAATGGATGGGGAGCCTAGGAATATCTATTTTTAAAATGTACTCATCAGCCAGATGTAAGAAGCACACGCCCAGTACCCCTCCTCTGATTTTAACCTGAGACTCTGAAAGATTCCATGACTTGTCCACAATCACATAGAAGAAAAGAACAAAAGTAGAAGCATGGCTGTGACCCTGTACCCCTCATTCTTGCCTCTCCTCAGGTGCCCTAAGTCTGGTGGGTCTGCAGAAAAGTGTTCCAGAAAGGAGCTGGACTTGAGTCCTTGGGGCCAGTGGGAATCTACAGTTTTGTTTTCTAATTCTGGCTCCTCTTAAATGCAGTGCCCAGATGCTGGGGCGATAGAAAAGATGAAAGGACAAGAAGTTCACTGGGTTGGTGCCAAAGAGAAAGGTGCACAGACACTACTCACCTGAATGCCCCACTGGAGCCGTAGTATCCCTCATGGTTGTTGGGAGCACAAGTATGGGCTGGGTCGTTGCCACCACTGCACAGAGCACAGAGACTGGAATCTGGATCAGACCCAGGGGCACAGCTTTGACTGAAGAATTCATCTGTGCAGGAAAACAGAGGAGGTCAGCTCTGCCTGCCTATGTTAGAAAGAGAGCCCCAGATTTTATCCCTAGAATTGCCACATTCAGGTGTTTGGTACCATATTATTAGAAATAAGAACCTTAGGGAACTAAAAAATAAAGGTTGCAACTAGAGTAAAGGGGAACTGGCTGAAGTTGGGACAAGGGTCTGTGGAATAGAAGTGGCACAGGGCAGAGGTGTGAAAGGACAGACACAGTTGTAATCCTAAGAGACACAACAAAACTGAAAGTCCCAGCTGGTTGAAATTGTCCCCCATTTTTCCTGCCCTCTGCTTCCCTTGCCTTTTCTTACAAGGTATTCCATCTTGACTCCAGATCCAGGAAGGGGCCTGAGAGACCCAGCTGCCAAGCACTGTGCTGGGCCCCAGGGCACTGTGGTAAGGACGTCACATAGGCCCTGCGCTCCGGGAACCCAAGCTTGTGAGCAACAGTCATAATTCAAGTAGCCACACCAGTGAATTTATCCACCCACCCCCACCAACCCCCACTTGCTCTGGGAAAGAAGAATATGGTTCTACACCTGCAGATAAAGGAATCTAGTGCAGACCTGGGAGTCAGGGAGAGGCCTTAAGTAGAGAGATGAAGAATGAATAGGAACAGGTTTTCCAGACAGGGAAGCATCTGCAAAGGCCTAGGGCAGGAGTTGGATGGGGAGCAAATGACACAGAAAGGTTAATAGAGGTCGTTGCGCTGGACCACCCACTGCAAGAGTCAGTGGGGAGAAGGCAAGGTCCAGATCCCCTTTTATACCTTTGTGTAGATTTTGTTTTTTATCCTTAGAGAAATGAGGAGCTTCTGAAGGGCTGTAGCAATGGTAGACCAGGTATAGTGGGCAGGATATAGCAGGTCTGCACTTTGCAAAGATTGGTCTGGCAACAGGATGGATGGAATCCAGGCCAGATGTGGTGTGCAGGCAGCAGGTTACTGTTGTAGCCCAGGAGAGATGAAGGCAGCTTGGACTAGGGTAGCGCTAAGGTGAGGGAGATGGTGGTGAGGTGGGGGGGGGGGGGGGGGGGGCGCAGAGAACTGACATCACTGGTGATGGATGGGTGCATGCAGGATGACAGCTTGGTTTCCAGCTGGCGCAAGTGGATGGACTATAGGGTCCTCCACCGAGCTAGGCAGCTTTGGAACAGGACCAGGCTCAGCAGAGATGATGCATTCTGTTTTGAGCTTAATGTGCTTTTGAGATATTCAATTAGATAATGTCAAATAAGCAGTTCTGGAGGTCAAGGAGAGATCTGTGCTAGGGATAACAATGTAATAGTTATCAACATATAGACATAATACTAATAATAGTGATAGCAGCAAACATTTATCTACTACTGGTTATGTGCCTAGTTTTGTATGTATAGTATTATTTGTTTAGATAGTAATCAAGGCTGTAGGTATGGATATGAGTGCCTGAGGATTGAGTTTAGAGTAGGAGAAAAAAATTTTTTTAAGCAACTGAAACATTTATTAACCAGAATGGGAAAGTGCATTTTGTAGGGGTAGGAGAAAAACCAAACCAGTGTGTTTTCACAAAAGTCCGGAGATAGCGTTTTAAGGTGATTTGAAGAAAGAGAAGTCATGGAGGAATGGAGTGGAGCATGACCTTTCAGCTGAGCAACATGGAGGTCATGGGTAGCCTTGATCAGAGTTCTTCCTTATGCAATGACACAGGGAAGCCAGAAGGCAGGGAGCAGAGGAGTAAGTGGGAGGTGATTGGCTCAGACCTTGCTGTTAAGAAGTCTGGCAGTAAAGAGGTGGAGAAACAAGTCAAAAGTGGGAGGAGACTGCTGAGAGAGGCTGGACTTTTAAAAATGGAAAACATTGGGTGAGTTCAATGTTGAAAGAAATTGTTGGCTATACCAGAGGAAGACGTAGTAACCAAAAGAGTGAGGCTCTAGGGAAGGGTGTGGGGGAGGGGCCCCCATGCAAAACACAGGTGGAGGGAGGCTGAGTAGATATAGCCATCAGTAGGCCCACAGCTTTGGCAGTGGGATGGTGAGGGAAAATTTTTCTGATCATTTCAATTGTCTCTGCGGCTGAGATAAGTCATCTGCTGAGAAACTTGGTAGATGGGTGTGGGATGGAAATGTGTGGACAGTGAGGACATTAGGATAATTATTAGGAAGTGTGCGGGGGGGGGTTGGCGTAGAGACACAGTGGGGGTGCTCATGAGTGCCAGGGGCCCACTGAGGCCAGCAGCTAGAGCATTTCCAGCGGAATGAACTGCTGGGCCCTGTGACTTCTCCAGCCATGTTTAGCTGCTAAGGTGCAGAGGGTGAAGAGAGCAGGGAATGGGCTTTGCATAGGAATGGGATTTGTGAGATGGCGAGAGAAAGCAGGGGACCAAGGGCCTTTTAGGTATTGACAAGAGTGTTGCTAAAATGACGAATATGAGAATCTAAGGGAGATAAGGGTGAAAGTGAAAGATAAAGTGTCCAAGGACTTACTGGTATAGGGTTTTCAATTTTTAAAAAGCAGCCAATCTAGTTTATATGGGAAAACAATACAACACACACACACACACACACACACACACACACACACACACACACACACTACTCTTGCTCTGTAACCCCAGGCTTGTTCCCCGAGCTAGTGGTAATACATAAAGAAAGGGGTATTTCCCTGATATCTGTCCTTTGGGCCAAGCCTCTCCCCTCAGAAGTGAGGAGGTGAGGAGAAAGGGGAGCACCCATTCAAGCAGAGGTGAAGCTCACCTGTAATGTCTGCCCAGCCCTTGACCCCACTACCCATTTATATCATCCCTTGGCATTCCTTGCCATTGAACTGAATTTCTCTCCTACACAGGCACAGGCCCAAGGAAGGGGCTGCCACACCACCTCCCAGAACATACTTACCAAATTTACAGGACCCAGTTTTGTTGTATATTAAACCCATGGGAATGTTCCAGCCTGCAGAAGTACCAACTGCGGGGTGACAGGACTTCCTGCCTTGCAGGGAGTTCCAGGTGAGGTCGGCACTTGGTTTCTTAACCACTGCCACGACGTAATAACCTTGCAACACAGATACCAAGATGCAATTTCAGTAGCTCCAGGACCCTCTGAAAATGTATTCTAGAGCTGCTACAGTTAGCCCCTCCTGCCACTCTCTCAGGGGAGGGGGAATAGCTTGAACCCCTCACCTTACTTTAGCAGAAGACCCTTCCAATAACTATCATTATTAAGTATGGGGCCAAACAGTTTGACGACTGCGCTCCAGACATGTCTACATGCATGCATCCAGAAATTTTTACACATGTATTTCATACTTTCAGTTTTATCCTGCTATACATTCTTTACTATAAGATGCTTTATCCTCCATCAATGATATATTGTAGGCATCTTTTCGATTCAGCAGAAATAGATACAACTATCTCATTCTGTTTATTGGTTAAATCTAAGTTATGTTCCACTATATGGAAATACCATATTTTGTAATCCCCCTACTGGTGGGCATTTATGTTGTGCCCCACTTTGCCAGATTACATATCATCTGCATAAATTTTTATACATATAAGTGTGCACCTGTTGAAATATTTCTGTTCAACGTTAAGTCATAAAGAAAGAGCTTTAATGACTTCTTTTTTA